ATACTCTTCCACATCTGACAAGCCCAAAGAACATACTCAGTATGATTAGAGCAGCAGTTCTCAAACCACAGTACATGTATCCCTAGTAGTAAATGAAACATTTCACATTAGTATGTAGCAACAGCAGCTCCAAAATCTGTCTTTAAGAGAAGGGGAAAGTAAGGTCCTATGTATAGCAATTACTTAGCCATAATCTGGGGTTGCTGTATAAAGCAGCAGGTTCCACCTTCAGCTGTGGCAAGAGACCAGCAGAAACCAGCCCTGCTCAGAAAGCAGGAACAGTGTAAGGTCAAGTATGAAAGAGAATGAAACTGGGATCCCAGCTTGTGGATGGAGAGAAGGCATAAGGTGTGCGGGAGGCAGAGAGCCTGGTAAAATCCTACTTTGCAGATAAAAAGGAGGCATGAAGCTTAGGTGGAGAAGCAGGTATAGAGTATTACCATCCAGTGGAGGTGAAGGAAGGTCCATGATCAGTAAGTGGCTCCTGGTATGGGAGACTGCAAATGCAGCATGAGACTGTCTGGGGATATAACACTGTGGTCTTAGTTTGATCGGCAGGGAGCGCATGAGAGTGTAGCATAACCATTTTTTTGTGCAGAACTTTTAGGATACAAATAAATACATATTTGCTATTAGAACAGGCACAGGAAGCTAATGCTTTGAGAAGTGCTGGATTTACTGCACATACATTTTCCAGTTGATTTGTAGGTGAGCAGTAAATACATGCAGTGCACCCCAGAAGCACCCCTTGTGTAAATGCTGTAACTATGCAGTGAACGGGCATGAAGTTTCATTACTCCAGAAAGCATCAGGCTTACCACACATACAGATATTTCCAGACACGAGGCATGCAGTTTGGGGTTCCTGAAAGCCTGAGATGTCTCAGTAGAATCTGCTACTTTCCCACCCCCATTCAAGTTTTTCAGGTACGAAAAAATAAAAATGAAAATGCACTTATGAGAACCTGTTTGGAAACCTAGGCATACGGTAACTATGTGCATACAAGCCCATGAAGCCAGGAGCAGCTGCTGCTGCTAACACCACTGAGAGCGACACTGGATCACCTCAAACTTAGCAACCTCTAGATCAGAAAACTGTAAAAGTCTGTTTTTATACAACTCAACCCAGATTAGACAGATTGCCAACAGATCCTCACTTCTTGACAAACTTGAGCACCTTGGCTCAAATTCTGAGCTAAGAAATGTTTTGTGCGTGTCAAACAGTGAAAAGAGGAGAATCCTTTGTTTCTGACTGCAGTAGCCCTCCCAAGTTGTCTGGTGCAACTTGGACTGTCATTCTACCTTCTGAATGACAACAGGGAAGCTTGCTTGCCTGCCTCCCCTACACCAATTTAAATAAATCTGTCAGAACAGCCAAGGAAAAATTATGCCAAGTACTCTGGAAGAGTTGTTTTGGTCTTGTCTTTACGTTAGAGAAAGATGTCATGAAAGAACAAGAAGCTAATAAAACAGAGGTCTGGGAAAACACTGATCTGTTGAATTTCTGCCAACACACTGCCCATATGAGTTCTAAAAGATGAACCTGAGCAAGGACAGCTGTTGCTGAATCCAAGGTGCCCTCTGTAAACAGAGAAATCTGTACTGATTAGAAAGATTTCTTTCTCACTAGCTTTGGCCCAAATCTTAGAGATTAAGTGACCTGCAGAGCCCAAGTCACTCTTTGAGGAGAGTTCCACTTTCTTTCTCAAAGAACAAATGACACAGCAGCTGCGGATCTCAGAGCCAGAAGCTTCTAGGAAAGTCTACCATCCTCCCCACCAGTGATTATGCAACTATTTGCCAATCAATGCTCGGAAGTTAGTTAAGGTTCTGAATCAAGTTTCTTTCCTTTAAACACATAATTTTTTAACCTTTATTATGCATCTGAGAATGCTCTCAAGAGCTGATCATTGCCTCAGTTTTAGTAAGGTCTTGGCTTCAACAATTGGCATGATTTTCACTGGTTAATGAGGAATCAGTTTTATATTTGTCGTCCTTAGATTACATTACTAACATTGTGATACAAATTGTATCCGGGAGTCCTAAATACTTTGTTAAAAGTCATGTAACCATGTTTAGTCCCTTCAAAGTAGAGCGTGAAAGGTTGACAATCATGCCTGACGGTTAGAGCACGAAGTTGAGATAGAACTGAAATAAGGCTCTGAGGCAGGACTGGAGTTAAAAGAAGGAAGAAACAGATTCGGCATAGTGGCAATGAGCTATGAAAGGCAATGAAGGCAGGGCTGGAGCAAATGTGGCAGCTGTGTTGCTGTAGTCAAAAGTGAGCCTATGCACAACTTGGAACTGTACTGCCCTGCCGGCTTCTCATTTGGGGCATACTGAAAGCCTAAACTGCCATATGGATGGGAATAAGACCAAAGTTTATAAAAAGTGACTAAAAAAAAAATCTGAAAAGAGACAGCACCACAGATTTATAAAATAGCATTTTAACATATCCAGAACTGTTCTATGTCTCTCTATTATAAACTTAAGATCTCCTTTGCCCTTTGGCCAATAGACTATTGATTTGGCAACTCTCCTCATACAGCCAAAGGAATCCAACAAAAGAAGGGAGAACTAACTTCTGTTCAGAAACATTTAGATAAATCAGTACAGGGAGAGTGGGAATTAAAGAGGCGGAAGATTTATCAGTAACAATAGACTGAATCCTAAAGTCTAGAAGCAAACAAAACAAAATGAGTTCTTTTCAGACAAACCTCAGTAGCACTAAAATGGCTTAAATTTACCACAGAGCCATACAAAAGCTGTAAGGAGTGAGTGTCAGAGGTAGATAATTGAATTGGATCCAAGGATTATTTTTTCTGAATCGGTGAAAGCCATACAGGAGACCCACTGACAAAATATTCCCATTCTTGCTGAGTTCTACAACTGCTGGACCAGAACCTCACTGGAACAAAACAGGAAGTTTTTCTTCAAAGTCATCTAGCACTGACCACAGGCTGAAGAGGGCTAATACCCATCTGATGACCTTCTATGAACTGCTGACCTCCAATGTAACAGATCAAGTAGCAAACAAGGCATTTTCAATACAAGAAAGATGGCCATCTCCATTTATTATGACTCCTGATATTCCTTTTAGAATTCTCTCTTTAAATAGAAGTTTCAAGTCTTTCTTCAGAGAAATGCGTAAGAATGCTTGATAGTCTGAATTATCAAGCACTGCCTCAATAATTCCAAATGAAGAAAAGGAATTAACTCCCAATAGTCTGGCTATCTGATATAAGCAGCCATGATGACAAAGTAACTCAATGTAGACAATGTCCTAAGATAACTCTTTCCGTCTCTTGCTCTGAGAATAAAAACAGAGCAACTCAAGCACTGCCAACCATTGCAAGCTTTTGACTCTCTAATCTGCAGAGTACACACTCTCAGTGCTGAAAGACCAAATGTCTCATAAAGGGTTTGAAGACTAAAACCTATACCAGCTGTGCCTAGACGCTTCTGATGTACTTTTGGATTCCTACACAAAATAAGAATTTCCATAGACATTAAATTATGTATACAATGCTAGATGAGACACAGCCCTGGAAGCAGTTCAGAGTGGAGCTCCAGGTGTTAAAGGGTGGGTTGCAGATCTACAGGTAACATACAACAGAAATGGCTTCAAAGCAACATGATAACTACAATGCCTTCTGCAGAGATCTGCAACAGAAGATTTTGACTGTGAGCAGCCCCTTCCCTGCTAAGTCTGTGAATCTACCCAGGGATGCAGGCAGAGTTGAGAAAGGAACAGAAGCTCTAGGACAGCCTGCACTCTGCTGCTCTCTCAGGCTGCGTAGGAGGGGAAGGCAGCTTACACCTGTTGGATAGGTTTTTTATTTGGATTAGGTAATAGCTCCCCTGGCTGGGCTCCAAAAGCAGAATCACCACCTCTCTCAATAACTCGAAACCCCAGAGGCAAACATTGTGCTGGAACAGAAACAAGTCAGGAATTCATTTCTCACATTCCTCTTCTTTGGGCAAGAGGAAAAACGACGACTGATGAAATACGAACAATTTTACTTGAGCTTTCCAAATCCCTCTCCAATCCTCCTATTGAAGAACCCCTTTGGGAAAGGATGACCACCCAGAACACATGCCTTTTGCACTGTGTCTGCCTCTCACCTCCATCCACTCAGGCATCAATGACAAGAATCAGTACTTTCATTTATAAAGTCCTGTCTAGCCCAAACTCACATATTAGAGAAGCTCTGCCTCATTATTTCCATTTTCAAAGGCAAAACTGAAGGCTCAGGCAAAGGAAGAAGTATTTCTTACTGAAGTGACATAGGAAGAAGTCGGATATCAAGCAGCTCTGGGCCCAGCCTAGTCAGTGAAAAATTAACTCTCAGCCTAGTCTATTGCAGTAATCTCACCCAGCTCCTAGCTTCCAAGGTCCAGAATCCTTGGGGCAAATCTTGCTGTTCTTTCAATCCCAGGAAGAGTGGTTTTATTGCAGAATCACAGTCCTCTATGCAGAGTCTCATGAGTATACCACTCATAGACATAAATTCCTAGTGGCTTTCGAAATTAATAAAGAGCATAAAGAAATCATTCAAAAGGGAAACCTTCAGAAAACTCTGTAGTGTGTTGTTCTATTTTTGAACAATTTAAACTTAATATTCAAGGAAAAATCATGAAACCATGCCTTGGTAGAGATTTTTGCAATATCAGGTATAGGTTTGCGCTCTATATAGATGACACCAGAAAGAACCCAAACTTACAGAAATAGGAATAAGAAATGATCGGAAATGTGAAACACATCTCCATTTCATTCAGCATGTCCATCCATTTCTGTATTTCACCTAGATCTTGCCAGCCCTGGGAATATAGCTCTGTTTCACAGGACTAGTTTCTAGGATAGTCCTGGGAAGAACTGGTACCTGGCACTTGGACACTCTCTTCTGAGCAAGAAGTCAAACACAAATTATGAATGAGCTCCTGAGTTCAATGAATTGCTTTCTCCTCCTTCAAAAAGCTGCAGCAGCAATTTTAACTTACCTGACTGCTGAAGAGACAGACCTTCTGTCACCTATGTGAGTGTCTGACTGAACAGCCCACAGTGGCCCTCTTCTGTTGAGTGTTGACTGGTAGCTTGGTGGGGAGGCTGCATTCCCCTTGCTTATAGCTCCACTTGCCAAGTTCAGGTTTGTAAACTACAGTGACAAAGAACAAGACATCAGAAAATTAAAAGCTAAGAAAAGAGTAAAAAGTACACTAAATAGAATACATAATAACAGTCTAGAGAAGGGAAATTTCGAGATGCAGAAAAATGTGCTAGTTACGTTATGCAGTGGGAGAGTTCACACCTATAGCCACTATGCTCAAGACAAATGCAGCTACCAACATTAAATTATAGCCCTTCCATTCACAGAAGCACAAGGGAGGAAAAAGACAAAGATGCGGTAGAAAACCTAAAGCAAGAAAGCAACACCATGTTTTTGCCATAGGAATAGATATAAGGATACATTGAAAAATTAACTCTTAACTGCACTAATCAAAAGCTAAATGCTCCTACTATACTCTCCAAGCAGAACCCAGACTGTCTGCCCAGCCACCATAAGTTGTGTCACTCAACCAGAAGACATATGCATGTGTCTTCTCTCTTCCTCTCTCTACGTGTATGTACACACGCAACCCATCAGCATAGGTATCTGGATACAAAATTCAAAACCAAACTCTACCACACATGAAAGGAACTTCTCACCCTAACCACTCTGAAACTGTTCACACAGGTTAACTACACTACTTAGTTAATGATGGCCTAAAAATCATGTTAGGTGCATGTTTGTTACAGCAAATTGTAATGAAATTGTCTGTATGGTTTTAAGTGTATGAAATGTATATTCCATTGTTTCCTTCTCTAAGCATTCTTCTTGTGTTGCTTATCTTCTTAGAATATCAAACTCTAAGCAGATACTATCTGTTGGTTTACTGAAGACAGCCTAAATGTATAAAGTGATGGTATCTACTGCAGCAGCCTAAGTATTAGATTACATTTTAAAAACTATTTTACGAAGGTTACAAAACAAAAGTTGCAAAGGTAAGATTCCAAGTCAGGCATTGCCAGAATTAAGTTTACAACTGTCTTTAGTTATATGATCACATACTGTGTTTTCGAAGCACAGATCTGATTCTGTATCAAGATTAATATCATACAGCAAACAAGACTTGTCTGTACTGCCCCTGCTAATTCCTGTGGCAGCTGGAAAGCGTACAGTCAATGAGACATAGGGCACAAACAGGAAGGACAGTCTAACCATGAGCCCTGCATCTGCTCCAGAACTCAAAGGTGATGCTTGCTATGTCACTTAAATGTGACTTAACTCACTTTAATTACTTAAACATAACTTGTAAATTCCCAGCTTTGCAATCTTAACAGTATTCTCATACCATAATTTGAGTGTAATTACTCAAACTGAGACAAGTACCTACCAGCACCCTTGCATGGTACCACACTCCTACTTACAGTGGTCCTTTGCAGGGTTGCAAACTTCATATTCTCTGACTGAACTCTGGCACATGAACTAAGAGTGTAACTAACAGTGTAGTAAGTTGTCACCCCTTCTGTGGGTTAGAACTAGAAGGCATCTAAGCACTAGGTGAAGTCCAGAAATCTTGACTTCTACTTCAAATTCCAGACAGGATTAAATTATAGTGGTTACATACTGGTTTTCTGCCCACTTTGCCAGGAGTAACCCTTTCTGACTCACACCTTTCCAGTTCTATCCTTTTCGATTCCTGCTCCTTGTCCATGTGCTGTTCTTCTCATCTAGTCAGTCCCATATGCCAGTTTTCAGATCTTTTTCTCCTTATTCGGCATGTTCCAGTTCCATTCCTACAGATTCCAGCACTGACCTCCTCCCTGCTTCTAGTCTCTGACCCACACTATCCCAGGCCCCAGAACTTTCCATTGGAGTAGGTTATTTGATCTATCTTTCTCCACTTTAGTTCTTCTTTCAGTTGCTCACATACCCAACCCAAGCAGTTCTCGTTTTAGCTTCCCTCCTCCTGCTCATTTTGCCAATCTCTTTGTTCACCCAGTTCCAGAATCTGGGCTACCCATCAGGCCATATTTACCACCTGACCATTCCTTCCATTTCTATCCTTTAGCCCAAAATCACCTCCCCAAAGTACATCCACGTCCCCATTTCCCATCACTCTGTCCTAGCTGTTCTTCACACCTTGGTAGAATTCAGTTCAAGTTAACCAGGCTCCCAAGCCAACACAGACCAGCTCACTGAGAACACAGGAGAGCAGGTACTCAATACCTAGAGGTGCAAGCACAGAGAAATTCAGCTTAGCATCCTCAGCGTGCAGGTAACTTTCAGGAAGCTGAGAAGCTCTAACTGGTGCTACTGGGTATATTTCACCTGGAACTTTTCAAGTAATACTGTGCAATCAAATTTGGATAAACCAACATTTAGCATCATCTTGATGCTTCTGCCTTACCCTAAAATGCTATTGTCTTCTGTAGATTACATTAATTTAAAGCATTTCTATTACAGTAACAGAAAACCTTAAGTTTGGGTCTAACTGTGCTAGGCGCTATACAAATACCTAACAATGACAGTTTCTGGCTACAAAGAGTTTATGGCCTGAAAAACAGTAAGAATGGCAAGCCAAGCAAATACAGAGGCCAATATGGTAAATGCAGTGGGATATATATAATTCTTAGCTTGTCAGCAACAGTGATCACAACTTTACTAAAGCAGCCATGTGAAAAAAGGAGCCTTGATCCAATCTCTCCTCTTCACGCCAATATTAAGAAGTATTTAGTCTGATGAATTACCACCTCACCTCCAGTCTATTACTGTGGTATATTTTCCTCTCTAACACTGTATCACTGTTTATTTGAAAGCTGTCTTTCTAAGAGAAGCAGGTGAACAAATAGCTCCGCATAGGTAGTAGGTGTATTTCACACATTCCAGATAGACAGGTGTTTAAATTACAGCAGGATTAAATACGGGCAGTGGATTCAAAGACAGGGAGAGGGCACCAGCAAGAGTGTACGGTTCAGCTGCAGCCAGCCCACCCAGCTGGGTGTTACTGCTTGTTACTGCACCATGTTCTGAGATGTTTCAGCTGCTATAATTAGATTACCAGAATGCTGCCTTGGTGGATTCCTGGGGCACCCCCAACACATCTGTGCTCAGCAGAGTGGCTTCATTTTCTAGTCATTAGTCCTCCCGAGTACTTGATGAAACGCCATTCATCTCTTCATAGAGAGGTAAATATTCAGTAATAAATCAATGGTTAGTTTGGCTTAAAAGAAGATAATGTATAGCATCTAGACCAAAGTAGATACCAAAAGCACTGTAAAGAATAATTTCTAGCTTGAGAAATGGGAATAGGGGAAAACAAATAAAGACAACAAAAAAATCCAGTGGGGCCCAAAAAGGAAGGTGGTGATTAGTGCAGAACTAAAACAAGAAAGTTTGTTTTCACACTGAATTGAATTTACATTGGTTCAGACTCTTCTGACTGATAAGATCCCTATCTTTTTCATTAGCCTTTCTTAAGTGAACGATCTTGCAATTTTTTTCTGACATCGGCAGCATGGTGGGAAACCTGTGTGTGTTGCACACTTCAAGCATCCCTGTTTTCAAACATCTTTCCTTATGTCAATACATTCTCTGTGGAGTACGTATAAAGGCTAAGACAAAGCAGAGGTCAAGACTCTATACGTAGCTAGTGTATCTCATGACAGAATGATTCATAAAGTTTGTCACAATTTTGAAACTGTTGGGGACAGGAAAAAGATCACTTAAGCTAAAAGGCACATGCTGAGTAAAGAACACAGTAGGACTGTAAATCCCAAAAGCTCTCATACAAGGAGAAGTGCTTGCTTGCTATATTTTTATTTTGTGAACTAACTCCAAGAAATAGGGGAGAGAAGAACACGTAACAGCCATACTTGATAAAAAGAGCCCTGTGTTATAAAACCTAACAGCACATACATGTACTACTGTGCTTTGTTCAACAAAATGCTAATAAGCCAGAAGACAAATTACTACACAATGACAAAAATACTCTGATGGCTTTGTTTTTTTTAATAAAGTGTTACAAAGTAAGTTGATGTCTACAATCCACTTGTTTTCTTGACAGTAGAGATGCATAAGCTTAGAAGAATTAGGTCTCTAAGGTCTTGCTTTTTCCAGAGAAATTTATTCCCAAATAAATTTGAGATTTAACACAGAGCCTCAACACAGAACGGTCCCCAAAAGTGCTAGGTACAAAAGATTAAGGTGTTTTCAAGTTGTTGTTCCCCTCCTCACCCAATCTGCTTTATAACTTAACAGGAAATATGAAATCTCCAAATATAAATAGGAAGAAAGAAAATTCCAGGACAAGTTCGTTTCTAAAACATAGCATTCTACGAACAAAGAACCACTGTATAGTACTTTTAAGAAATTACAAGCAAGAGTTAGGACAGGAGATTAATATCCTTCACATTCCTGATCTACATCATGCTATCCTTTCAACACTGTTTCTCACTATCATATCCAAGAACTGAACACTTTTCTAGAATAAAATGTGTTATTTTCATTTTGATCTTGCCTAGCATTTAAGATAGACTAAAACAATAGGCATTCTGCTTTTTCCAAGGAAGTGTAGGTTAAAATAAATAAGTAAATAAATAAAATCAGTATTGCAGATCAGCCTTCAAGGATTCAGGAAACGGCTCCCATAAACTGGTGTGTTTCTTTTGCTACTTTGCAGGAGTCAACAAGGGAAATTAAGCACACAGCATCACTAGAAGTTGTTACCCACTGCCCGTCTTGGCAGAGTGTAAGAAAGTGACTTAAATTTTCATTAACAATATCCTGAACAGCAGATCCCAAGTTTCACTCGTCCACGTGTTACAACACTAAGCAAGCAACGCACTACAAAAATACCTACTGTGCACTCATTTGGCAGTTTCAATATTTTTCTGCTAGAGGCCAGTCATATCCTGCTGCCTATAAATTATGCGCTGGGATCAGAGAGCTACAGAGTCTAAAGACCCTTTCTCATACTTGGAGCCATACTTGTATCCTCTCCAGTCAACATGCCTCAGACTTCCATTTGGATCATTTTGACTGGTGAGGAGGAAGAGGGATCCAGAAGTCCAGACATATTTCAGAAATCAAGTAAGTCTAAGAGATGGGCGAAA